CCCACACTACGGACACGTTTACTGTTCACGCTGCACACCGAAAGGCGGTGGCGGAAGAGAACGATGACAACGGCGACAAGGTGTACTCCGTCGAGGATGTTCGTTGCACATAGCACACGCGAGGAATTCGTTTCTCCTAGTCGATGACGATCGACACGAAAACCGATCGAGGGACTTGACCGACTTTATTGTACCTATTTGTTTAGCATTCACGTATCTTCGAAAGTTTGTCGCACGAGATTAGCTTTCTCGAAAGCTTAACTGACTTTCCGACCGTCGCTGTCACGGTCACCGTAGGAGGAAGGGACGCGATGATTCCTAGACAGCTAGGCGTTGTCACATGCGGACGCACGCCCGTGTGCCGTGTCCGTCCGTCCGTCCGTCCGTCTGTTCTTCCTTCCTTCCGCAAACGTAGGTGCTCCCACCTACACGCCGCGAGAGGTACGTAAAATGTGATGGTACGACGTTGTGAAAACGTCCGACGACACAACCGGCGATTGCTTTCCGACAGTCGCCCTCTAAACTCCGATCTCACTCGTGACGTAAGATGAATTCGATCGAACGAGACTGATGAGGCTGACGATGCTGATGATGATGATAATAATGATGATGACGACGACGACGACGATGATGATGATGACGGCAGCTGCACCGAACAGTCATGGATATTCGCCGTCGCTGATTCCGTTAGTTAGTCAGTTTGTCTCTTTGATGATGCGCGGTGCCGCGGATCGCATGTCGTTCACTTCACTCGCAATCACTCGCGCGCGTACGCATGCACGCATGCACGCACGCATGCACGACGCAAGAGCCGTGCTGCTGCGCGCGTCAAGTCAAACCGTGTCGACCTGCCGACGACTGAAGGGAGAAAGAGAAGCACCGTTACGAAATAGGATTCGCGTATAGTTGGCCTAACGAGGCGCACGTCCGTGTAGGAAATATGGCCGCGGGTAATGTGGCCGCGCGCACACGCACGGTATATGTAATCGCCGATCAGGCGGATACGCGATTCACCGAGGGAGACAGCGGTCTATCGCCGTCGATACTGCTGCCGTATCCTTGGATCCTTTTTCAGATGGCCAAAGATCGCTATTACTCCACTTCCACGTCGTCTTCGTCCTCGTCTTCCTCCTCCTACTCCTCCTCCTCCTCCACCACCACCACCTCCACCACCACCTCCTCCTCCTCCTCCCTTCTCCTCCCCCTTACGTTCGCGCGCTCAGATGCCGATATGCGCTGAACGACGTTTTGGATAAACGTGTACGTTAGGAACAGCTCTCGGTAGCACTGCACTCGGCCGCCATCAGCTGCTCACTGCGACGTGGAGGTCTATCTCTCATTTTCCGCCGGAGCAAACGCGACCGTACGTCAAGCGTTGAGAATCGCCGGAATGTGGCCCGACATTGCCCTATGTTCCGTGCTATCACCACTACTAATACTACTACTGTTACTACTACTACTACTACTACTACACTACTACACTACTACTACTACTACTACTACTACTACTACTATTGCTGCTGCTGCTGTTGTTGCTGCTGCTGCTGTTACTGCTGCTACTACTGCTACTACTACTACTACTACTACTACTATTACTACTACTACTACTACTACTACTACTACTATTACTAATGATACTACTGGTCCTATTACTGCCTTGTGCTCGTTAGTTAACTACTCGACGGATTTCTTTTCGCCCAGTTTCTCGTCTTCGATTTTACTCCGCTTTATTCTCTGTGTCGCGCGCGTATACACTACTCTACCGCCCTGTCCGAGTATCGCTTGTCCGCCACTGCGGAAAACGATGCCGTTTCTATCCTTAGAGGAAACCGCACGTTCGTTCGCGACGAATCACACGCGGGGAAAAAAATAAAAGCAAATCTCGAGAATTATCGCGCCGCACACCGTCGTTCTCTGTTCACTTATTGAAAATCCGTCAAGAAGTGCCTTGGTGCCTGAAAATAGTAATGTATGTTCGACAATCATCGGTCGAAGACGACCGAACGTCGACGAAGGCACACGAGCACGGCAGATGGCGGCGGCGTTGCGCGGCCAACTTTTTTATGTTGCGCCTGCTGTCGCGACGCGTCGCGATCCTTGACCAATAACCACGCGCCGCTATGCGTCTATCGGTAGCGACACATCATAAAACTTGACCAATAGCGTGCCACCGTGAGCGACCGCACGCCATTGGTCGGCGGCCGTGCCCGCGATCGATGCATGCGGGCGAACGTGCTGAAACTGAAGGTGGCGCGATGCGTGGATTCGATCGTTAATGACGAATCATGTTGCCATTTTATGGATGCCAGAATGACGGCTTCGATTTCTCCTCACCCTTCCTACATGTCTCGCGCTCTCTCTCTCTCTCTCTCTCTCTCTCTCTCTCTCTCTCTCTCTCTCTCTCTCTCTCTCTCTCTCTCTCTCGCGAAATTTTCGTTCCATTTGATTGCAACGAATCGTGAACCATTTATAAAATTATGAAAAATTATGAATTCTTAACATATTTTGAAAAATATATTACAAAAAATATAAATGTTTTGAAATTTTTGAGTTTTAATAGATTGGATATTAAAGATCTTTGATTAAAATTATATCAATTATTATCAATTGATAGAAATTATATCAATTATATCATGTCGATATTAAAGCAAGATGTTATACATATCACGAATTTTTTTATTACGATTAAATTCTCCTGCAGAAAATTTTAATTTAAATTTTGGATATGAATTAATATTTTATAATTTTTTGAAATTATATATTTTCGCAATACAAAAGCTAATTTCTTGTTACGTGTATGTTCGTGGCATTTCTTTTGTATTTTACGTTCGGCGCTGGCGATATAAACCTTTTTGGTCCATAGGCTACGATCAATGTAACACTACAAATGCTTCGAAGCGTTTGATTCTCCAATCAAAACAAAGAATTTTACTAACACACCAATCAAAAAATGCTTCAAAGCATTTGTAGTAAGCCCTTGACCGTACCCACAATGTGATAAATAATCGACGTTGCGTTTCAGAATATATGTATGCAAAATGTCAAATGTCGTACAAGAGTTTTTATCATTATTATAATTATTATACAGCTCTTTAATTAGTATAATGATGTTAGTGATAATTATATTGTTGCGGTATAGCGTCGCGGTTTCAAAGGTCTTGTTTAAATAAATGCATATTAATTTATAAATAACTTGTCTCCCTTACGTCATTCATCTTCAATCTTCATCATAACTGATCATAACTTTAACTTCTCGAATATTACGCAAGCAACTTTACCGCCAGAGAAGGTGCGTTTTTCGTGAGTCTGTGATAATCAGTCTTGTAGGTGTCGTTCTTTACTAAAGTTGACGACGATTGACAATTTGTCACTGTATTCATTTGAAATCTGAAGAAAATCTTGTGTATTTTACAAAAGAATTTCTATCTGTTAAAATAAAAATTATATTTTCGTATCGAGAGATCCATATCCATATAATCTTTAAGAGGTGGAATAAGCAATAAGAAACTATATGACTAAAATGACATTAATTGACGGAAAAAAGGTTCGAGATTTTGAAATAAAAAACTAGTAGTGAAAGTAAAGCGTTTAAATTTCAAAGTACGAATATATTCATAGAAAAAAAAGAGAAGTGCAATCATGTAACAGCGTATTTAATCTGATCTAACCTATCAAATGAGCAAGATTGATAACAGTAAGTTAATCGCATGATAGAAATTTAAAACATTTAGAATTATATATCAATTTATAAAGAAAAGTTATTTCTAGTAATATAGAAAGAGAGAAATATAAGAAAATCTAAAATCAGAAGTCTAATAGATATACTTAGTAAGTTAAAAATATATTAAACTTATTTTTAAGAACAATAAAACGGCACTATGAACATCCTTTCATCGTGTCCTGGATTATACTGCGGTAGAGAGTTATTGCCGGATGGAAACTGGAGTGATTGTGGCGCTTGTCCACGTGGCTTTCGTGCCAATGCCTCCTCGGCATGCGAACCATGTGACGATGCACCAATGTTCTACGACTGGCTTTATCTAGGCTTTATGGCCCTTCTAGCCCTGGTGCTGCATTGGTTCTGCATCGATATGGTGGCCATGCGTCGTAATATACCCAAGGAAGTGATTGCTCTGCACCTATCTGCATTGTTTGAGATAGTGCTGGCATCTCTTATAGTCCTTCAACTGACAGATCCAATTGGAACGTTCAACGTCAAGTCATGCAGAGCAAAAAAATTATCAGATTGGTATACATTACTTCACAATCCAAGTCCTAATTATGAAACAATGTTACACTGTACACAAGAGGCAGTTTATCCCTTGTTAGTATTATTAAAACATAGTTTTTATTAAACCTTTTAAGATTGCATATATTTCTCTGGCAAATCTACATTATTGAATTTATTGCGATAATAAATTTTATAAAAATATTTCAATAAAATATAAAAAATATCAAAAATTCATTACTATTATAAATTTCTATCGATGTTCATTTGTCACAAAAATATTGTAATTTTTAGAAGGTCAAAGCTCCTGTTGATTCATTGCAGATATCTTAGATTGATGTTAAAAACAAGAAAATACATAAAAAAAATTCTTACAAAATTGTAGTGACCAAAATAGTAACTTTTGATATTTATAATTAATAAGTCTTAATTAATAAGTTTTATAAAATATACCGAAAAAAATTTTCCTTTAATTTGCTAATAATCGTATTTAAAGTTATGATTCTGTTTTGGATTAGACTGATAGTTTATTAATCGTCGAAGCAAAAGGAATTTTTGATCTGTTTCTACTTTAATTTATTCGTAAAAATTTTTGTGTATTTTCTTGCTTTGGACATCAGAAATTAAAATGGCCACAATAATACAGCAGAAATCTAAACTAAAATCATTATTTTTGACAAATATTCTGCGCTTAACGTCGATTGTCACGTATCTTTGATTTATAACATTATTCTATTATTTTACAGATATACTATGGTTTTTATCTTCTATGCCTTAGGAATAATTCTCATGCTATTAATAAGGCCGTTAATAGCAAAGAAATTCTTGCCAAAGCAGGGCAAATTCTCCATTTATGCTGCGTTATACTTTTATCCAATCCTTGCATTACTTCATGCCGTGGGTGGAGGTCTAATATGTAAATCATTCTTTATGCTGTAGAGAATCATATAATTGCTGTTTATACATGTATGTATAATTTTTTTTTTCAGATTATTCTTTCCCTTATATCACTATTATTTTGTCGGTGCTTTCAAATGCAGCACATTTCGCATTTAAATTGAATCAGACGGTAAAATCGTTGCTTCTAAGCTCTATCTCAGACATAAAAAATGTAATAGTCATCTTGGGTCATTGGCTGCTGCACGGATATGGTGTGATAGCAGTCGCAACTCTTCGTGGAATCAGTATACATCCTGCGATGTTGTGTATCGTCTTATCACCCGCTCTGTTTTATATCATGACAGCAAGATTCACCGATCCACATAAACTTCATATTGAATGAATTTTTCATGTAATTCTTTTGTATCCTACACATTAATATATTTAAATTATAATAAATACATAATTTTGCGTGAAGCATTGCAAGATTATTTCGATAAAGATTTTCCAAGTTTATGTAAGCATGGTATTTCTGGAAAAAAAATTCTAGATCTTTGTATTTGATGCTTGCTATGTATGTGTATATTACATTACACATATAAACGTTAAGGACATACTTCTTTTAATTAAATATAATGGATGTATACAAATATATATAATTGAAATAACATTTTTTTTTCATATGCATTTTTTCAATTTAGATTAATAGGATAGGTTAAATAAGTTTTTACATATAAATATGTAAGTTTTTAGGACCATGAGCTTCTGTTCTGTTTATATCACTCTGTTTTGATACAATTCTAATCTTTTTGGACAATAAATCTGTTCTTTAAATCTTGTATATTGAAACAAAAATACATATATCATATACAGCAATTATTCTTGCATTTGAAGCGATTAATCTCTTTCCATCTTGGACCGATTACTCTTTTGGTACAAATGTTAAAATGAGTGTGCTCTTCGGTGATATGGGCACTGCATCCGATGGCAATTTTGTTCTACAAAATAAGGTAAGATTATTACATAAGGTCCTTCAAAGTCTGAAAACGATCAAACACTCGAAAACAAAGCATTTTTGAAAAATGTTTCAGACAAAAGTTGTAGAGTTCAAAAAAATCTATTTACTGATCAAGTTACTTGAACTTGAGTGGCGTTGGCATCCTAGAATTTTTGTATGAAACATATTTCTCAAAAATGCTTTTTTTTTTGAGACTTTTTTACCGTTTTCATACTTTTGAAGAACCCTGTATATGGGAGTAAATTATTAAATATAGTAAAAGATAAAAATTTTTATCACAAAAATTCTTACTTTAAGACCTCTGTATCTTGGATATAGTTGGGACTATGCGCGACTACATTGATTTCTTCCGATATCCGTGGAATTCCAGACAAATTTATAACAACCGATTCTTCTCCCGTCTGATACGCGACGAGATATCCAGGATTGCCGCTTTTTAACCTATAAATTAAATTTATGTATTTATTCATATAGATTTCACATTTCACTCAGTAACAAAATATTGCACGTATGCACATACACGTAAAAAACATATCTACAAGTACAAAATATAACTTAATTATATAGTATCACGTATAACTTTAATTATTAAATATTATTATATTAATTATTAATTATTATATCTTATTCTATCAAATTAGTTTTTATGGCAAAACACAATCATGCACCAAGAGGAAATGAAATAATTTTGATAATTTTATATTTCTGGAAATTATTCTTGCAACTAGTTTTATAAATATAATATATATAAGAAGTGCTGTAATAGGTACTGACCACTATAAAAATATAATAAGGGCAACAACATGAGAACTATTAATTGATAATGAAATAGTGACAATAATTAATATAGCTATATAAATTTCATACAAACAAGATATGACATTACATTTTTTTCAGTTTAGATATTTTTCTTAAACGAAAAGCTAATGTTATTGAGATAAGTTTAAAAAATACATTCTGTTACACAACAAATAAGTTTATCTAATTATTTATTAGAAATAATTAAGGCTCCTGAGTATTTATCTAAGAACTCCACATTGATGATAGCGAGTCGCAGCGTCGCAGTAAAAATTAGAAAGCTCAATCATCCTTTATACAGAGTGTCCCAAAAAAATGGCCAAGCGGTCATATGCAGGTAGAGCAGACTAAACTGAATCGAAAAGTCCTGTACTATTTTACAATAGTACAGGACTTTTCGCAATAGTTAACGAATTATTAATTTATGAAAATAAATTGCAACCGCGCGATGAGGTAAAATTGCTCAGTGAGACATGCATTCACCGTTGTTAAGCACGCGTGGAGCACACTAGGCGCACGTAACATACGTAGATGAAAGCATAACCAATGCCGCTTGCAATCAACAACTCCACGCGTGCCTGGCGACGCTAGGCGAACGCGTATTTCACTGGGCGGTCCTATCTGATCGCGCGTCTGCAATTTGACTATTTTCATAAATTAATAACTTGTCAACTATTGCGAAAATCGCAAAATAGTACACGACTTTTCGACTCAGTTTAATCTGCTCTATCTGCATATGATCGCTTAGTCATTTTTTTGGAGACCCTGTATATATACATATACATACATACATACATACATACATACATACATACATACATACATACATACATACATACATACATACATACACATAATATATATATATATATATATATATATATATACTTTATGAGTAACGCGGGAACAATGAAATTTTTTTATTGCAATTTCGTTATTATGTGCTTAATCGTGCAGATTTGACTTGTTTCGTACTTATCAAATTTGTGAAAATGAACGGCAGCTAAAATTATCTTTGAATTTGATATATAAAAACATATTTTTCACTTCTTTCAACAGCTGTCAAATCGTGCGTTTTCTGCCTGCATAGGCTTCATTTCACGTGTCTTTATGCTACTTATTGACTCAGAAAGAGAAAGGATAGCAGCCATTCATTTTCACAAATGTCTTAAAGCCTTAAGTGTTGTTTTAGTCAAATATCTCTTTATTTGCAAATTAAGTGCAATAAGTTTTACTGTCATTTCTCACCTATGACATTAATTTCAATATGGCCATGATACTCAGGAGCCCTAATATTACTATAATTTTTTAAAATATTTATTGTTCTTGTTATAACTTCATAATATATAATTAAGATGTTATTTATCAAACTTCTAATTGCTGATACGATTTTTTTTTCTCTGAACGTCATAATTAATATGTAACTTACCAATTCCTGGGACATATTAAGAATGCATGAAACAGGACAAATTAATCTTTAATTAATCTATTACATTTATTACATATTATAAAATGTTTCAATCAGCCCATGTTTTCAATGTGTCTATTTAGTGTCATTTAATATCAAAGATGCTTATGAGTTTCGTCTATCTGTTTACAAAGTTGTACTATATATGTATTATATATTTATTTACTATATATAGAATGTAAATCAAGCAATAGATGTACTACTGAAAAGCATCGTGAGAATAGGTGTCAAAATGTTTTAATAAAATTTAAGAGTAAAGACGTCTAAAGTCAATTGTGTACATAAGGACGTATTCAATTATCCAATTAAAATCAATCTCTTTCATTCATGTGATATTATATTCTATTAATCTTTCTTAAGTATAAATGAAATACTTAGATGGAAAAAATTGATAATTATTGAAAAATTATTTTAAATATATAATTTATATATATATATATATTAATTATATATATATATATATATATATATATAAAAAAAATTTTAAAATATATAGGTTTTTAAAAAATTAATTTGTGTGCGTGTGTGCGCGCGCGCGTGTAATATCTATACTTGATATGTTCGTGCGTACGTGCGTGTCAAGAATAACTTGTAAATAAACGTTTAATTGCTATTAAAATATATCTAAGTAAATTCTTATAGTTATCGATTATCACATATTGATTTTCTAATAAATTATGAAGCTTACCTTGCGTATACGAAGACAGTTCCATTCACTATTCTAAGCGTCATATTTCCGTGAAGGAATGTTAAACTACTTCGAGCATTTGATAAAGTTGCAAACGCATCTTTCGCGGACATGACATCTTCCAATTGAAGAATTGGCGTGCCTGGTAATAACATAGTCATTAACACGATACTGTCAGCAACGTCTTTAGGCATACGTTGCCTTAAAGAAAGTTGTTTGCCATTCACCTGCAATTGATATATACATTTAAAAAATCAAAGGTTTAAAACTACATCTTATACTACAGCTTATATACATAATTTTTAAATTTATGCAAAATTAATTTTGTCGTACTTACATTCCACGCAGGCCATGGCGTAACAGCAAGCCATTGTGATATACTTTTACGTAAGTCTGTTGCGTTTATATTTGCATTTGCAGTGGTGAGAAAATGCGAACTTTGTGGTAAATCAAGCGTTGTCTTATCGTTATAAACTTGCAAAATGTCTGCGCCAATATCATCTTGCAATGCGAATAATCTGTAACATAAATAACAATATATACATTGATATCAATAGTTTAAAAGTTACAGAAAGCAAACATACCCTTCGCCGGCAGTTTCATTGTGAACTATTCTTTGCCACTTTGCCAACACCGCAGCATTCTCTGAACGATCGCGTGTGTAAACATGCACCAATGATTGATAATTGCTTGATTCTACAGGAAGAATGCTTCTAGACTCATCATGCAATTGTGGATCTTCCGTTAAATATTGCGTATTCACTAAACGAAAACCACTAAGGCCTAATTTCAGCCAATGAGTTAAAATATCCTTAAAAGATAAAGATGAATAAAGATATTTAAAAAAATAAATATTAATAAGATATAAATAAAGGCAAGATAAGTTAATTAATTAAAATACAAAAACTTACTCCAAATTCTGTTATCACTGCTGGATTGTTGTAATTCAAATCAGGTTGCGATTTATTAAATTGGTGAAGATAATATTGACCTCTTTGTTCGTTCCATTCCCATGCAGATCCACCATATACACTTAGCTATCAAAGAATATTTTAAATTAAAACGCGCCATTTTTTTCAATGTTACAAAATTATGTGTCAGAGCAACTAACCCAATTATTAGGAGGACTTCGCCTTTCTTTTCCATCTTCAGATTTTATACCATCAGCCCATACATAGTAGGATGTGAATGGATCTTGCTTCTCTACAGATTGTTTAAACCACGGATGTTCCACAGAAGAATGATTAGGATCTAATTCCAAAAAGACTTGTTGATTATTTCCTCTTGCCACTTTAATAAGATTTTCCAAATCGCTGATGTTTCCTAATTCCGGTTTGATGGCTCTAAAATCTATAATTCCTCCTGTCAAAAAAAAAAATAAGAATCAAAATATTATTATCGATAGATTCTAAGAGACTAAATATTTTTCCAAGTCTGTATCTACCGTCTGCGCTTTCCTTCACCAGGGATGAGAGAGATATAGCCTTGATGTTTTGATTTTTTAAATTGTCCAATATAAATTCTAATCCTTTCAAATCACCATTAGGAGCATCTGATGAAGCATCTAATTCAACAATTGGACTCTCTTCCCACAATTTTCTTGGCTCAGGTGCAGAGCATTTTGGTGCCATCACGATGATAGCTATAGCACCAGCCAACATAGCTGCCCATATCAGCCAAAAGATGACGAATAAAGCCCATCTTAGTCTCACCCAGAATGGGTCATTTGCAAATTTCATTAATTCTTCCTTGTTCATTCCAGCAAGAGCCACTTTTACCATCTCAATATCGATCTTGGCATCTCCATTCTCTGAGATAAATTTTACCTATCAAAGAAGTTTAAATTTTGTGACATAAACAAAAGAACCAAGAGGAATATTTATAATAAAAAATTACAATTATATGAATTATAGTTATATAACAATTCAACATTAATTTAGTTATTTCTCCAAATGTCTACAATAAAAATAAATGTTCTTGTATGTGCATTCAATATTCATTCAATAATCATAATGTTCTGCATCCTTTACATGCTTTTTTTTTTTTAACAAGTTTAAACAAAGCATACATGTTATTACCAAACAGATAAAAAAAAAAACTAAATTTGTTCAAAGAATTGTTATCTATTTATCAAAATTTAAAATATTTTAATATGAAAATTTTTAATGTTTTTACGCTGTATATTTACCATAATTACATACATATTTAGATTAAAGCATTTGCATCAAATATGATGCAACTTTCATGAAATTTGCATAGTTTTCAGAAATTATAATCGACCTATCTTTCTTTATTGATGATACAACAAACATAACACACATTTTGTTCAAATTCAAATAAATTCTAATAAAACAAATCATAACTTCTTTAATTGAATCATTAAAATAATTCCATACACTCATAATCCGCAGGAGCGCATGACGCAGAGTTTTGATAATTTTATCCGCGAGAACGATCGATCGCTCGTACAATGGCGAGATAGGCGTGTCCACCATGAGATATACAGACAGGAGTCTTAATTCTCGGTATTCTATACTTTGAGCTACAATGGATGCTTTCCATTTAGTGACAAGTATCGTTCTATCTTTCTTGGCTTTCAATGATTAATAAGGACAAAATGATACTTGTGTCGACTTGTGTGTCACTAAATGGGGAAAGCATCCAATAACTCGTAACGAGGTGAATTGAGGTTAGTTAGCTTAAGAATGAATTTAAAAAACAGATGGAAACCAACATCATCACATTTAATTCATCATACTCTCAAAAGAGCTTTATATGGTCGTAGAAAAGCTACAAGAATTGCTCTCGTGTAAAAGAAAATTTTTCGAGGGTACAAAGATCGGAATCGAATTCAGAGAAATGAAACGATTTTGATCGACGAAAAGTTTCTCACCTCGGTAGTCTTATCATCCTTGTCGATTGCGATCTTTGCGGTGCTATCTTCCTTGAGCATCCGCTCTTGCGCATCCTGATCCAAATCCTCGCCATTCTGCTTGCCCATAATGACGACGACGTTCAATTATTTCTATCCTTCTGTTGCTGATTGTTGCGATATTCCGCTGCGCGAACCGTCCTTACAAGTTCCGCAACGACTGCCAACAGTGCCAACCGCCAACGGCGTTACATTCGTGAGATCACGAGTTCTGCGACGCTGCTCACCGACATAGACATAGGGTGCGTTCCTTTATTCACTCCGAGTGCTCTCATGCTATGACGTAATGGAAGTATACCGCGGCCTATCGTTCCGTTTAGGCCGCGGTCCGATTCACGCTCAAAGCACTATTGGCGTCATTCTATTCTTATTGTTCATTAGATGTAAACTAAGGATAGAATGATGCCAATAGTGCTTTGAGCATGAATCGGACCGCGGCCGAGATACGTCAAAATCAATTCAATGTCATAGAATTCAAGGTAGTACTTTCATAGTGCACTGCTCTCTATGTCGGAACGCTATTCGTAGTACCGATAGTACTACTCGGAGTGAATAAAGGAACGCATCCCTTATGAATACTTTGTAACAAAATGGCGATACCAATCAGAACTATCACAAAGTGAGGCAAATTCAGACAAGAGAGGTATAATAAATGACGAAACAATTTTGCGTGTACATTTTTAATTTCTACAATATTAGTTTTAATAATATTTTAATATAGTTTTAATAATATTTAATATATATACATTTTAATATAAAGTAATGTATTAATATAAATATCTTTAAATATTATTATTACAGAAAAATTATTTAATTATAGAATGCACAGTCACTGTCGTCGTATAGTGTCTTTTTTTAATCGATCTTTTGACGTGCAATTCTCATTCGATATCTTATAAAACGCTTTTTTATTTTTTTAGATAATTGGTGACAATTTTTTTATTGTTTCCAATTGTTTTCATTTTTTTCAAAAAGAAATGAATAAAATCCACATTTGCTATTTCTTAAATGTAGAAGATATTGTCAAATAACAATTTCCATTTCTAAAATACTCAATTTTTTTCAATTCATAATAATCTTTTTGTACGATTAGTCGGAAATGGTCGCATGGAATATCTCTTTTGATAATTACTTTTACATCTCAAGACACAACTTGGTATTTAACTAAGTATTTATTGATTATTATTTAATTATTTATCTTACAGTTATTGTCAATGATTTCTTAAGATAAGACATAATTGTATTTGTCACAAGAATAAATCTTTTAATTAAAAAAATAAAATTTACTTTAACGATGATGTGTGTTAACCTCTCCAGTTTCGCGTAACAGATATTATTTTATTACAGGACTGCTAGCCAGATTCTTAGGGTAGGAACTCTAATTAATTCCAACAACGCGAACATATTGGAACGCGTTGGAGTGAGTAGGAGCATGTTGGAGCATGCAACACAAACCTTAAAAGAATTTTAATGGGATGTGCCATGAAGTGAACAACCATACATATTAAATAAATCACGACATTTTTCTATTTTGCAACACGTCAAATGTCTCAAATATCCAGATTAGAAGTGAATGTCAGACGGCTCTTGGCACGCTGCGAATTAATAGCGAAAGATGATCTGCATAAGGATTGGAAACTCGAGAAGGTGCGTGAACTATTTTTATCATCTCTTTCTATTACTATCTATCAATAATCTGTTTGTTTTAAAATTTACTAAATGTGTGTATTATTCATATATCTACTATAGATATCTTTTATACAAATT